CTTCTTCTCATCTTGTAAGACCAAGTTTGTTGCCGATGTATGAAATGTGGTAAGCAGCTATGAGTGACATAGTCCATTTTACTGTCCTTCTTCACAGACGACTTTGAATGAAAAATCATAAAACAATAATTTGATACATTTGACTTTGGAATGATTTCATTTGGTTGATTCGTTGTTGAGTTTTTTCCAATGTTTAATGCTATTCACTTAAAATCTTGAAGTGTAGCTGTTTGTCTCAGCCCTGCTTTCAAGGTCTTGTTAAGATTTTTGCTGCTGGCCTGACCCTCAAATAACTCTATCTGAACTAGTCCCTGTTAAGTGGCGGATTTAAGTTATGCTACCCAAAAATTGCGTAATTGATAGAACTTCATTACAACCAAAACTTTCTTTTTGTTAGATGGTTCACGAACGTATTCCTGCCAATAAAACCGATGTTTCAATCCTTGGAACCCCCCTAACATTCCGTAATGGTCGAAAGGCGAAAAACCGTTTTTTAAAGGTAAGGAAGAAGAAATAGCTGACCATTAATAAAAATAGACTTAGATTCAGAGATTTTTTTGCAGGCTTCCTTGACGGAGATGGTAAGTGCGTGGGATGCGGAAGACTTATCTCAGAGAGGAATACCAACGCAAGATTTGATTAACGTCTATGACAAATGGGGGAATGGTGGCTTTGGTGTTATCTTGACAGGAAACGTGATGGTTGAACCGGTAATATTTCGTTATATTTCCCTAGATATTATTTTCTAAAAAATCTTAGTTTCCAGCCAACATTTTAGCTGTTTTGATAATTTTAGTTTTCGCTTATTAATTCTAAACGCGTTTTTACTGTTTCAGCGTAATTTGGAAAACGCTGGGAACCCAATCATCTGCCGAGAAAACGATTCGCCACAGCTACGAGAGGCACTTTCGAAACTGGCTAAAGTTTCAAAGCAGGATGGAGCGCTCATTCTCGTACAACTCTCACATGTTAGTTAAATGGCCTTCCTGGATTATTCCAGAATAATGAAGCGTTCAGGCTGGAAGGCAAACTCCCTTCACGGTGAATGAGTACCCATACTCAAGCTCTGATGTGCAATTGAACAGCTCTATCATAGATGGTGGTAAACCCGTACCATTGGCATTGGACCAGCTGAAAACTGAAGTGATCGATCGCTTTGTTTTTGCCGCAAAAGTAGCCTATGAAACAGGTTTGTATAACTCAAACTTATAGTTCCCATTATATCTGGCACTTGTAATCGCCGATTTGAAATTAGGATTCGATGGGATAGAATTGCACGCTGCCCACGGCTACCTTCTTTCCCAGTTCATGTCTCCTACAGCGAACAAAAGAAAAGATAGATATGGTGGTTCCTTGGAAAATAGATTTCGGCTTATCGCAGAGATATATCGAGCTATCAGGTGCGAGA